TCTCTGTGTGTGTGTGTGTGTGTGTGTGTGTGTGTGTGTGTGTGTGTGTGTGTATGTGTGTGTGTGTGTTCATGTGTTCAGGCCCAGTCGTTTCTGCACAGGACGCTACTGATGAAGAGGAGGCTGTGGATGAAGATGCAGCCGATGATGTGATGGCTGAGGATGAGGATGATGAAGCTGAGGTGGAGGACGATGATAACACTGAACTAGTAAGAGAACTAACTAGCATTAACCTCTCGTCATGTGATGCTCTGAGCGGTTGAAGACACTCATGTTGTCGTTTCTTCTGTCAGACGGAAGAAAAGGAGGAAGTGGAGGAAGAAGCTCTGGTGGGGGAGATGAAGGCTTCACCCAACGCTGACACCACCATCCTCTTCGTCAAAGGAGAAGGTGAACGAGTCGATCTCACACCAACACCAGCGGCTCATACTCGCCAGGAGACATGATTGTGTGATTTATTGCATCGTCAGATTATTTTCATGAATTGATACACATTTTGTTCATTAAAGTCTCATTATTCTATTAGTTGTTTTGTACTGTAATACAGTAGGTGATTATGAAGTTTATTTAACCCTATAAAGATACTGCATCATATTTGATCATGAATTTCTAAGCCTCTAAATTATCAAACTTTGCTGTTAAACCTGTTTTTCACTCTTTTAGTGTAATTGTACAAACGTTTAGCTTCAGCTGGAGCTTCTCGTGTCAAATCTTGACTGATTTTGATCAAGTAAAGGTCAGGATAACTGCAGTAATATCTCCAGATGAACACTTACTGGACTGAAGCAGCTCAGCTTTACTTGATTCTCCATCAATCATTTTTTAGAGTCTCAAATCTGATCCTCAGGATCTTTTGAGGAGCGTTTGTTTCCAGAAGCTTTACTTTCACTGTTCCTCAGCGGAGGAATGATCTTCACAAGCCTCCAGAACATCTCACATCTTCTGAGGAGCCTTTATTTCTTCAGCTCTCAATCACTGCATTATATGTTTGGAGCATTTAAATGAATTTCATCATATAAATATCAGCATGTTATTTCATGTGTCAGGTTTACAGAGTCTCACAGTGTTTTAGTTTCTGATATTGAGATGAACTCTGATTCACAGACTGATGGGTGTTTCTCTTCTGTCGGCTCATTCATTCGTTCTCTTCCTGAATGGCAGATTTTCCCGCCAACGACATCGTGAAGTTCCTGCTGGGATTCACCAATAAAGGCTCGGAGAACTTCGTGGTGGAGTCTCTGGATGCCTCGTTCCGGTACCCGCAGGACTTCCAGTTCTACATCCAGAACTTCACAGCGCTGCAGCTGGGGACCGAGGTTCCTCCTCAGCGTCAGGCCACCTTCGAGTACTCCTTCATCCCCGCGGAGCCCATGGGAGGCCGGCCCTTCGGCCTCGTCATCAACCTCAACTACAGGGACAGCAGGTGTGTGTGTGTGTGTGTGAGAGAGAGTGTGTGTGTGTGAGTGAGAGAGAGTGTGAGCGTGCGTGTCTGTATGTGTGTGTGAGTGTGTGCGCACGTGCGTGCGTGAGAGAGTGTGTGTGTGTGTTTGAGCAGACCGTCTCTGGGCTCGATCCTCTCTCACTCACTCGTGTCCTTCCTCTCTGCTGTTTCAGGGGAACGTGTTCCAGGACGCCGTCTTCAACCAAACCGTCACCATCACCGAGAGAGAAGATGGTCTGGATGGAGAGACGTAAGGCTGCTGCAGCAGTTGAGGAGTTCAGGCTTTGAGCAGCAGGTGGCGCTCTGATCATGTGACTGACTGTGTGTGTGTGTGTGTGTGTGTGTGTGTGTGTGTGAGAGAGAGAGTTTGTTTTTATTCTGCTATGTACAATGTTTTGGCAATATGTACGTAAGTATGTCATGCCAATAAAGCAATATTAATTTAATTTAATTTAATTGAACTGAGCTGAACTGAATTGAATTGAATTGAATTGAATTGAATTGAGAGAGAGAGAGAGAGAGAGAGAGAACAACGAATAA